AAAAAAGAAAAGAAAAGAAAATGCGCCATTTAGTAAGTGATAGTGCTGGTATTTGAACCCAGTCTGATTATAGAGTCTGTGCTTTTAGCCACTCCACTTTACCACCTCCCCACAACAGATAGTACAGGTAAAATAAATGAACTGTAGATCTGTAGAGCTTAAAAACCCATCACAAATATTTTAAGTCAGTTTCTTGACTTTGCAAGAAACAGAAGCCCAAAGAAATCTTCTGTCTCTTGGTTTGGTACTGTTTCCATCACATATGATCATTATTTCTTACCAAAATCTAATTTGGTATCAAAGTACTCTTAATCGATCAATATGCCCTTTAAGGTTTGCTTTTTTGCAATGCTGTTGGCATTTTCACTCCATTGCCATCATTTTATGGTCTCTATCCAAACCTTTATGTTTGCTAACATAGCATTTAGTGCAGATCTGTCAAATACACCAATGCATGCGCATTCCATAAATTACACACAGGCATGAATATTTTTCCTTCTATAAACCATCCTTCTGATGTTTTCATTACCTTGTATAAACGGGGCAAACAGCCTCTCAGAATATAGCTGAAAATTTCATCTAATAAAAAGAATAGCTTCCTTTCTAGAACGGCCCCTGAGATAACCTGAAAAGGGTATTTTATTGTAGTTAGTGCAGGGAACAATAAAAAGACGTGATTCCATTTATGCCTCTTGTGAAGCTGTCAGCTGGACAGGTTCTGAGAGCCTAAACTGCCTCCAAATGTCAATTGTTTTCCTATAAAGTGCTAAGACATGTGTTTTGGGTAGAAGATGAGAGTTATTAGCTTAGTGCTTCCAAGCACTGCTATGTGAGCCCTTTATTTGAAATGACTTTGTAGATACAGTTTTGGGAAAATGGACATAGTGAGACAGTTTCAGGCTAGGTTCTTGCCCCACGTGTGTGATTTCAGGTTGGGCTTTCTGGGATTTGTTTTTCTTGCCTAAAAACTGAGGTACTTCTAGACCTGAAAAGGACCTGAGAGGGTGTCTAGTTCAAATCCTTCCCTTTACAAATGAGAAACCATCTTGGGTTTGGTTCTCCTGAAATCAGAGAACCATGGCAAGAATGTGTTACAGAGTGGTTATCACTGCAGGTAACTGGGTCTCATGGTACCTGGAGATCTGCTGAGGAACTGTCTAGAAAGCCTCTCAGATTTGAAGTGCACAGGGGTGGAGGCTGGGCATTGATCTCCTCACCCTTGACTGCTTTGGTCAAGGGTTGTCTCAAGGGGCACTGACCCCCCACACCAGGTGAGGAGGCTTACAGAGGCTGTGAGGGATTCCCTCCTAAACCACGGTGTCCAAAGCTCTATTTAGCACCTGTGTGTGCTGCTGCCACCTTGTGGTCGTATCTTTCTCCGTGATCAGCTTCAAATTCCTCTAAGCCCGGCAGAGAGGCAGAGGAAGACCTATTGGTCAAAAGAGGGATCTTTACTCAATGACCATAAGACAGAAAGGGGCAAAATTTCTCACGCTTCAACCTTACACAAGCCCCAGAGGCTTGTGGAGATGAGGGGGCCACCATCCAGAAGGGGAGGAGGACAGGGGAGTTCCTGGAGACAGGGGGATCACCAGGCAGCCCGGTGAGGCATCTCTGGGTTCAGAGCTCCCACGGCCACACAGTCCGGGACCTCACTACTGCCAGGGCCTGTCTTATCAACAGGAGACCTGCGGGGTGAAGTTGCATGGGGAATGCAAAGCAGGCAGGCTCTAGATGGCTAAACATTTGCTTGATTGGGCTATATTTAAAATAATCGGATGTGTCAACATTTGCATATGGTGTCAGCGGGTTTTTGATATAATGGGTCTCAGCCTGCAGTAAAGAAATAAACAGCCTCGGTGCCAATGCACAGGGGCCACTTTTAGCTCATTTTTATGATACTCTGAGCAGCCCGTTTGCAGTTTTGCTGAACTGACAGTCGCTGGACCCCTAACAGACAGGCCCACCATTTCCCCGACGCTACACCTTCACTGAGAGTGCTGTCTCCCTCCTGCAGCCCCCGGTGGATTCTAGCCTTTCCTCTCCAGAGAGCTCTACTCAGGCTACCCAGACATCCCTAGGGCTGCCTGCCACACTGCTCTCTCCATCTCTTTCACTTTTCAGTCAGATCAGGTGGGATCTGACCTGCACCCACTACTAGACCATGAGCTGTCAGAGGGAATGTGTACTAGGAACTAAGCTTATCTTCCCAAAATTCATCTTCTGAAGCCCTGCCTGCCATGTGACTGTATTTGTAGATAGGGACTTCAGGAAGGTAGTGAATGTTTAATGGCCTCCAAAGGGCTGGTGTCCTTATAAGAAGAGGAGGAGACACAAGCATTCTCTCCTGAACACACAAAAAGGCCACAGGAAGACACTACGAGACGACTGCAGACAGGCCTTCCCAGAAACCAACTCTGTGGACACCTTGATCTTCCAGCTTCCGGAACTATGAGAAAAAAAATGTCTGTTGTTTAAGCCACCTACACTGTGGAACTTTGTTATGGCCACTTAAGCTGACTAATACGGACATCTATCTCATTCTCCTTTAAATCTCTTCCAGCATCTAGAACAGTGCCAGGCACACAGAAACTCCTCAACAAATGTTGACTATGTTGAATTGTAATCCCCAGGCGAATGAAAGATGGGATGCTTGTGGGGCCCTGGATCTGAAATCTCTGACAAATCCCAATCCTGGGATTTGTCAATCCTGGCCCATGTACTCCATAGAAGACAGCCAGGGTCTGCCAGACCTCACCCAAAACTGCAAAACCCAAAAAGCTCTGAAACCAGAAGGTGTGATGTGGACCCTCATTCAGCAACAAAGCTTGACCTGAACAGGAGTAAAGCTACTTAAAATTATCTCCCTAGATTTTACTACAGAGCTATTAATGATTTTGATTACCAGGCACTGC